ATAAACTTGAAACTTTTCATGGTAGCTTCAAAACCAAGATTTATTCTTGATAGATTGTCTTGCCAATCTTAATTATTTTTTTTTTGATTCTGCATGTGTTTTATTTGTGACGCTCTGGAGCGCTTACAAATGGGATAGGTTATAAAAGGTGGAAGAGATAACAAGAGAAAAAAAACAGGGGAAAGAAGAAAAGACAAGAAGAAACTGGAAAAAGACATAAATGGGTAGGAGAGGAGAGGTGAAAAAATGATGAAATAACAGGAATAGAAGGATTGTAGATTGCATGATTCTTTTATATCCACGTAGAGAACACATTATCAAGAGGAGACAAAAAACGACTAAGAACTTTGTGACGTTCGTGAACTGGATCCCCTATTACTGAACTCCAATATGCTGTCGGTCAACTTGCAGCCGAGTGCATATCTGATGCGACGCGAATCAGTACGAAGAAAACAGAAGTAATGGTGCTCTCGAGACAAGTGGAACAGCGCAATCTACATGTCGGCGCGTTCCATTGATACAAGTAGAAGTTTAAATATCTTGGACTTGAGTTCAAGAATGATGAAAAACAGAACGACAAATTAGATCAACGTATTCGTGCAGCCAGTGCAGATTTGAGTTCCCTTTATCAAAAAATTATGACAAAAATAGAAAGCAGTGAATGAGTACAATGGCAATCTGCAACTCAATCTATGCCACTGCCATCATATATGGTCATAAGCAATGGATAATGACCGAAAGAACTCAATCTCTCCAATGCAGACGATTGAAATGACGCTTTCCAGAAGAGAAACAAGCTTTACACTTTGTAATAAGGTTTTCAGTTCGACAATTCGAGAGTCTCTTAAAGTTGAACTGATACTTCTTCATATCAAGAAATCACAGCTGTGTTGGTTAGATCATATCTTGAGAGTGGTATACAAGATACCTGTTTAAGAAGTTTTCTGATCTACATCTGAAGGCGAACCCTTAGCGAATTGTTCACAAATGAGGTATGCAGTTACATAACCCGTCTATATAAGGAGCGATTGGAATTTCAAAGAATCGATGTGATTCTTACGGCGGAGGATCAACATCAGACAAAGATCTTCTGAGCGGGGTGAAACTCTCAAATCGAAAAAAATGCTAGAAAGGAAAATGAAACACTGAACAAAAGAATAAAAGAGGAGCCTTTACATTAAATGCTTCATAGCTAACTGGCTTTAGCTTTTCCTAGGTCTAGATAAAAAGAATTTTTCTCTCGCTATAGCCTACCTATATGTTTACATACAGAGAATAAAAGAGATGATCTATTGATTAAATCGATCATACGTAATTAGTTCTATCTCGCCACACCTACAGAGAAAAAAATATTTTCTCTCTCGATAGTTTGCCCGTATTTTTTGCATACAGAGAACAAAAGAGAGAAGCCTATACCTTCAATGTTAGATAGGTAAACAGCTTTGTTTTTCAGCGTATAAAGAGAAAAACAACTTCTCTCTCTATGGCCTGCTTGTGTTTTTACATACAGAGAATAAAAGAAATGATCTATAGATTAAATTGGTCATACGTAATTAGTTCTATCTCGTCACACCTACAGAGAAAAAAATATTTTCTCTCTCGATAGTTTGTCCGTATTTTTGCATACAGAGAACAAAAGAGAGAAGCCTATACCTTCAATGCTAGATAGGTAAACAGCTTTGCTTTTCAGCGTATAAAGAGAAAAACAACTTCTCTCTCTATGGCCTGCTTGTGTTTTTGCACGGAGACAACAAAAGAGAGAAGCGTGTAGGTTGAATTGGTCACACGTAAGTAGTTTTATCTCGCTGCAGGTATAGAGAAAAACAACAGAATTTTCTCTCTGCATTGTCTTCATGTATTTTTTCTCTCGCTATGGCCTATCTGTATTCTTACATACAGAGTATAAAAAAGAGGTCCATATAGATTAAATCGATCACACGTAGGTAGTTTTATGTTGCAAAAGATATAGAGAAGAAAATTATGTTTCTTCTTTATTTGGAATGGTTGTATTGTTTCATAAATAGTATAGAAGCGAAAATCCTCTAGATTTCATGAGTAACCGGTGAATAGTTTTTGATTTTCATTGATATTGTAACACAAACAGTTCTCTTGATTGTACGAGCTGCTATATTTCTTCATGGACAGAATAAAAGAGAAGAGCCAATACATCAAATTGGTCATGCGTAAATAACGTAGAATGCAAGAGTAATGATTCAAAATGTCTGTCCATATTTCTCTTCGAGAAAAAGATGCTATAAGAAAGTGTTTTTACGAAATGGTTGAGCTTTTTCTCCTGTTTCGAACAGTGTATGACTCATATTTGTTACACATTAGTAAATGAAATGAGACGAAAAAAAAGTGTAACAGTCGAGCAATAAATTTACAATATTTATATGAGCTGGTGAAAAACATCTTGTTAGTGGATAAATAATGCGATCTTCGTGCATTGATTAAAAAGATCTTGTGAAGCAGTGGTTACTTCGATTTTTATGAACTCGTTAAAAATATCTTTCAGGTGACGATTAATTACAATTATCTGTCGATTTACAAAATGTTTTTAACGAATTGATATCAAAATTATAAATTTATTGCACGACTATTTCTCTTTTTTCTCGTCTCATTTCAATGACTAATATCGGAGAAATACGAATCATACGCTGTTCGAAACAGGAGAAAATATTCTATGAACTGACAAAAAGGTATTTGTGTCAGAATCTAGCCATTGAAGATATACAAACATTGGCATTGTAGGTAGCATTTTTGTAGAAAAGTACAGATTGTTTTTAAGGGTGCTTCCCTTCTCTGTCGCGTAGTTTCATTCATGAATGTGTCCTGTGAATAAGTTATACAATTTGAAAGAGAAGAAAAGTTCTATGTTTTGGTTAAAAAATTTTCTTTCAATACTCTTTTCTCGAAGACAAATATGGATAGACATTTTTTGCACTGTACATTAGTCTTGTCTCGCAGCAGATATAAGGAATAAAACTTTTTTTTCGCCGAACAGTCTGTCTCTGTTTTCTCATAGACAGAAATAAAAAGTGAAGTTTATAATAGCTATGTAAGTATCTAGTAATACCTTATGATCAAGTATATCGAAATAAACAGAAACAGAAACAGAACACATGAACTTTATTACTGTTTTCTTTTTACAAACACTGCTCAACTTTATTCAGATGAAATTGTTGTAAAATGTTATACCTAGTACGTGAAAAGGAGCCATGATTTCAAGCATCAACAGATGCAAAATATTGTTTTTTTGAATTTTATTTCGTTTTATTTTACATTTTTATTGAAGAAAAGATTTTTTAATAATTCAAACTAGGTTGTGATTATGGGTTTCCTTCTCGCATACATCCATACATACCCACATCCAGATCCATATCAGCAGCCGACATAAACACAATTTGAGCTGAATCGCGACATAAGAGTTTATCCCAGCATACCCCGTACAGTTCTTATTGCCATATTTATATATATTTCTTATGCTTCATCTATGCTTAGTCTCGAAATAATCCTTACATCTTCAGTTTCAGCATAGGTACACATATATTGGATTGTTTTCTTTTGTTCTCAATGCTTATTGTAAAGTATGTTTAACAAAAGTTAATGTCGAATACTGCTGATAAAGCTAATCATATACCAACGCTATTTACCATTATCATATGATATCATTTTTTAGTCATGTTTACGATCGATCGTTCAATATTATCATAATTGTGTCAGATATTTCTTTTACAGTCCTTTTTCATAGCAGTCAGAGAATTCCGTCACTCAGTCATTGCAAATACTGCTAATAATTGAGTAAATCAATCTGGTTGCCTTGAGATGTTTATGTGTGTGCATGATGATTTGTATATGTTATTGCCACTAAATCATAAGATAAAACATTCACTGTCATACTTTGTAGAGCATTGATAAGTATCATTATGTAAAAATGATTATTTACCCATTGCATTCGAAAAATTTGCCATTGAGTTGCTCATTTATTTTATTATTCGAGCAACGCGATTCACACCGATAGAATCAAACATAAAAATATTTTAACGTATTAGTACACTATTTCTGCCGTCAATAACTGCATCAGCAATCTATTTGCATAGGCAAATATGTAAAGATTGATATAATCTTATATAACATTTTATTCCGTTTTACTTTTTTTAAAGTCGCCAAAAGTTTTTGTTAATACAGTTCGAAAATCGAAATATTTTCTCTTGATACAACTTATTTGACAATGATAGTAGATCATTTGTGCGACAAAAGTTTCTTTTGTCTCATTTAATCAATTCATAACATCCAGTCTGACGAATTTACATATATCTGAATAGAAAATCACACTGAACCTACTCGAGTTATCGCATTTTAGAAGAATTGAAACGTTAGAACAGCCTGTTGAACTTTGAAAGCTTTTGCCCGACCATACCAATATAGATTGGATTATGCTTTCTATCGATTCTTATCACTCTGTACTGAAAATTTCTTGGACAAGATGCAATATTGTGTATCGTCTTCACGTTTGTTGCTTAGAATCACTAGTTAAAGTTCGACATACTTTGTAAATAAATTGATTATCTATTACTAACTGTGGAACTTTGACTGATGTATCTAAAATAACGGATACGGATAATAGGCAAAGTATAACATTTCTGCTCAGAACATTGTTTATGTCTAAATATTTGTGAAGTAACATCGAAATCGTTCATAGAAATTAACTTATAAAACACATAAAAAAAGTAGAAAAATGTCACGTGTTATGACATTGCGTTTTTTTAGCTTGTTTTACTAGAAGCAATCTATTTATTTCTTCTGTATACTGAAATAAAGACTAGACTAGAAATAAAAATGAAATATTTCATGACACACATCCATCTTCATTGATATTCAGAAATATTTTCCTTCATGTTCTTCTTCATGAAGAGAACCAGTGATTTATATTTTCATTTTTGTATTCTTGATATATGCGTCGAAATTTATTAATATAAAACAAAAATAACAAGTATATAATGTACAGTGTATTTGTCGCGCTCATATGCTTTTTACCATATATTACAACTCAAAATTCAACAATAGTATACTCAAAATATCGATGGCTACGACTGCCAGCAACTCCTCAACTTCCTCATCCTCGTACTGGTCAATACGCTGATATCAATAATATTCGGATATGGTACACAATCTACGGTCCCGAACATGCTACTACTATCCTGTTTCTTCATGGTGGCTTATGTAATAGTAATTATTGGGGATTACAAGTTCGAGAACTTAAGTCATTTTATCGATGCATATTGATGGATTCTCGAGGACAAGGTCGAAGTTTCACATCGTCCGCTAATATTACATATGATCTGATGATGTCTGATGTTGTTGCTTTGCTGAATTATCTTAAAATTAAAAGAGTACATTTAGTTGGATGGAGTGATGGAGCAATTATTGGTCTTAACTTAGCAATGAATTATCCAAATAGATTGATCTCATTGTTTGCATACGCAGCAAATTATGTTCCTAGTGGTCTGCGAGATACTTCCACCTGGCCTCTTAACACGGCCGTCTTCGAACGTGCTAAAGCTGAGTATGAAGCAATGAGTCCAATCAATGACTTTTCGAATATCCTCAATATTTTATCATTCATGTGGGCTACACTTCCAAATTGGAATCAACAAGATTTTGAGAGAATTGATGAGAAGTTGCTTATTTGGATAGTAGATGGTGACCACGATGTAACTATCTTTCGAAGTCAACCAGATGACATGTTCAGTTGGATTCCACAAGCAAGTGAATTGATCATACCAGAAACGGGTCTCGTCGCATTTATGCAGGATCCCGAACTTTTCACTATATTATTGAAACGTTTTTTGACCGAGGCTGATTGTCCACATTGTACTTAGACAATATTGGAAGCATCAACAGCTTCTGATGCCAATTTAAAAAACAATCCGGTTGCTATTTTTTAAATAACTTTTGATAGAAAGATGATAAAGTGCTGCGGTTTTCACCACTGGAAAGAGATGAAGTAACTTCGAATTATATATTATAGGCTCTCCTAAGATGTTTTATGAAACATTGTTTTAATCACATTTATTTTTGAGGTGTCGAAAAAATAGTTTCTTTTAACATTAAAAAAAAGTGCAAGACAAGAGTTTTTTCACAGCAAATTCTTGAAAAATCGGCTGAAAATTTTGACTAGAATAACTATGACTTCTCAATAACTAAATTTAAACATCTACGACTTGCGTAGTTTTGTAGACCTTTCGTTGGCGGCTCGTATGCACACTATAGGCACCTCACAGGGTTGCGTTAGTTTTTCGAAAAGTCGATTGAAAATCTTCAATAATTGACCGAAAGAAAAATAATAATACACGATTCAATGCGTCTTGATCTCATCTTTTTATAGGTGAAAATTACAGCTCTCTATCTTATTTATATCAAAAGTTATCCGAAAAATACTACCCGTGTTTTTTCTGAAATGGGCATTAGTATCTTTTGTTTATTTCCTGCTTCAATATTCTTTAACAATTTATTATCTATTCTTTATCTCTACAAGCTCACATGGTTGTCTCCATGTTCTGTTCATTTACTCAATTTTTTAAAAATTTTATTTCAAATGCATGCTTGAATCCGAAATAGAAAGAACTGTTGATACAAAGCAGTGTTCAAGTGATTAAATGAGATTTACCTAATAATTGAACTATGCATTTGAATAGGTCCACCAATCATTCAATCGATATTAAAGTAAAGAATACAATATGGTATAGGTTTTTAAATGGAGCTAAAATTGTGAGGAATACGGTGCAGAGTTATAACCGATCAATTGAAATAGTTGAACCAGCTGGTTTTTATCGGTTTAAAAGAATGATCACAATATGCCAATTTTCTTTAAAGAAACATCTTGAGAATAGGGTTTAGAATTTTTGTGAAAATACTAAAGTGATACTATTTCAAGATACGAATTCTGTGATCATTTTCATCTTTCTCAATTGTCGGCCTGTCCACGTAACGGTATACTTGAGTGGGGGAAGTTGATCTACTGAATTAATCGCAACCAATATGATCATCAGGGTGTGGGTGTGGGTGTGGATGTGGGTGTAAGTTTGGGTGATCTCGTTGTTAACTCCCACACTCACACCCGATTTTCACCATTGAAAAGAAGAAGTAAAACTATATCGAAACTTGAATATCAGATTTTTCTGACAAGTTTTCTCAAGGTCACCCGCGAAGTTCTTTAAAAACATCAAGGCTTTTTAGTAGGCTTAGAAGGTGGATTCTTTCCTTTTCTGTTTTTTCTCTTGGATTAGTATAACTTTCAACCGAAACGATCGGTTGCAGATGCAAGCAATACTTTTAACGTGGAGGGTTAGCTGGGCGCAGACCATTTAGAATAACCGCACGAGTTGTGACACTGACTCTGCGGGAAAAACTAATGTTCTCACATGTATTAAACGATAAAACTTGTCCAGTGACGTCCAACAAACAAGGATACATTTTTACTTATACTTTTATACTGACAAGACACTTTGTATCTTGAAGAGAACCCGAAAACAGTTTAAAAAACAGAAAAGGAAGGCATAATGAAAGAACCATCGCTTATGGCGCAGCGCAGTTATAATATTTATATCATTCATCATATTTATTGAAAGATAGTTGTGAAAAAAGAGAATGAATGACTCATTGAAGAACAGCGACAAACCTAATCATAATTTGATTAAGTTCATATGTATGAAAGAGTGACTTCAATAACTTTGTCTTGTCGAAAATTAGTTGTCTTTTTAAGATCTGAGTGAGCATGAGTGAGAATGGCTTAGAGTGAGATCTCGTGAGTGTAGAATTCGAAACTTTATCGATTGATATTGACTTCGAGCTAAACCGCGGTTGAAATCGGTTAGAGGATATTTTACTAATACTCCATCCAGACGGATTGACCCTTGAGAAAGGTCGAAACCGAGGTCGTGACATTTCTTAAACATAATAAATTCAAATACATAGATGTCTCTTAATCATCTATGTAGTATTGGTTCAAAACATACGTGATGACTGCCTAAACAACAGTCGAAACGCATCATATGATCCTTTGAATCTTTCTATTATAAACTCATCTACTCTCACCCTTACCTCTATAGAACAAAGTCTATTATTACTTCAGTAACAATATAGAATTACACTTTGTTTCGAAATTCTTTTTTGAAATTCATTGCAGGTGCCATCTGAAGATCCTAGTTGCTTTGGTGAAATGTCAGCATCATGCTAGCTTTACACACTCCCACCCCTTACAAAATGCATTCAAAATGAAGTTGTTCAATACCAGTCTATTACGATTTATGGTAGTAGAGAAAATCATTTCTGCAATCGTTGTGTTCTATTCGCGATTATTACAATAAAAGTAGTGTATTAGTTTGTCAGTGATAAGTTCTAATTTTAAAACACATTAGAGTATATTTTATTGAGGCATTGTTTCTTGCTTTCTTCTCAGAGCGGATCGACATGAATGTCACTGGTATCGTATCAATCGATAGAACATCTCTATTAATTCCACTACAGAGAGAAAACTAATGCCAATCCATAGACCAGTCTGGCCACCCACATTGGAAAGTGCATCTATGAAACTTAGGGTTGCCAATTGTGTAACATTTTCGACAATATTCGATTCGCGCATCGGACTCACAGCGACATAACTTCGATAAATATGTTCACGCCAAGTCGTCGACCAGTTCGCGGGCAAAGGGATCGTTGAATTTTCCACAAATGCTTTGATGTCATCCATCTGCCATTCTGCTGGTGTTGATAATGATGATGCTTGTATAACAAACGTGGCTTTCGAGCACTGAGGTGAACAATCAGAACAAAACTTATTCATCAGCAACGACGAATGCAATAGATTTTCGATTGCCTTCTTGTAGCATTGATTGGAGGCATCGCAAATCGGGGCAACTATAATTTTATCGGTGCCTGGCATAACAATTGAACGCCCACTCCACAAATAAGGATTAACACAGCCACACTGATCATATCTATAAATATAAAGAAACATATGGAGCATGTGAGTCGATGTCTTGATCGTATCTCATTGAATACGCTCACGCATAGACTTGACTACAAAGTTGATGGCAGACAGCTTCGGATTATTGATAATCAGCACCGTTGTAATTATCAAACATGACTTGCATCATGGGAGAAACTTTTTCCATACATGTTGTGTAAGGTGGGGACAAAAAATAGATTGTCTTTTTCCGATATCCTAGTTTATGCATTCTGCCTGGCGCTAATTCTATGCCACTAGCTTCAATTAATGGCATTTCAGTATTATCATGCACTAGAGCGACGGCACCAAACTCTAAGTGACGATGAACCTTTAGATTTGATGAGAAAACAATTCTACTTACCGTTTTTGAAGTATGGTATATATTGATGACTATGTACGAAGAGACCTAATGAGAGTTTCCCATCACCACCATACTTATTGGCAGTGAGAATCGGCTTCTCATTGCTATTTTTCAATTTGGTATTGAACGTATAACAGGCTCCGTAGAGCGATGATGTAAACTGAATAAAATCTGTCGCTGAGCATGGTACATTATTGAAAGTACATTCGTACAACATGGAGGAAAGGGAATAAAAAAGTGATTCAGCAGATATGTTTCGATTGATCAAATCGCCCATAAATTGTCGGATAGCTCTCATATGAACCGCAGAAATCACTGTATCATTTCCATTCGTCAAATTATTGGCCGCGGTGTAGTTAAAAAATGGTTCGAGAAACCGATCCAAACGAAATGGTGAAGCATTGCAAATACTGAATGCAGGAAAATACTGTGGCCATTCGCTAATAAAACTTACGTCCATACTGGTCGGATAGGTGAAATAGGCTAGAATCGCCGTAACAAGAAAATAAATCATAATCCCAGTAAACATAGCGAAGGCAATTGACCAAAAGACACGATTATGTATGCTGGTACTTCGAACAATACCAGGAAGAGCATGTGCGGAGGTATTCAAACAGAAGTCATGAATAATGGAACAGAGACCAATGCGTTCCTCTTCATCCGTAAGCGTTGTTGAATGCTTCTGGGATTGGATTGGCGACTCGTCAACGATAGGCTGCATGAGTAGTCTGTTTCTGTCATCAAACAGAAACCAACACAAGATTATTACTTTTTATTTATATTTGCTACTAGAGAACTATTTATGTCAATTCATAAATATGCCAATAGGACGAAGAAAATAATAGTGTTGACTTCTCATTATCGCTACCAAGCACAAAGTTTGTCTCATAGCTAGAACGGCAAGTATCTCTTCTTCGATATTTGGTCATTGATTGCGATAATGAGTGATCAACATTGTTATTTTCTTCCTTCCATTCACATATTTGCAAAGAAAAATCAGTGGATTTCTCCGCCGTTGTACACTTCCAAATTTAAACACAGACAGAAAATAGCTGTAAAAATTTTGAAAGATAGAAAGCTTGTAAGGGTCCCTAGTGATAGACAGCAAATTTGGACAAATCTATTGGGAACAAATAGAATACCGTAGATCTGAAAAAAAAATGCTGAAAATATGACTAGGCAAACAAACTCAGGAAAAGTCAACTGGTTAGGGTATTGGTCATACTGCAGATATCAACTGGATACAAACGAGTTTATAGGAACACAATAATTATGTTCATAAGGTCAAACAAATTTTATCATCTATGATAGTGGTAAGACAGTGTAACTACTCATTAGATCGGGTGTTTCTGGTTGTATATGAAATTTTCACTAATGTTCTGAATGAAAACAGTGCAAAACTGCTGCACATGAGAATCATCTCCTTTTTGTTCTCATTAAATTTAATTGTCTGAACAGATGTTCATTGTTCAGAATTAGACATTCGAGTTCGTTCCCTCTAACTATGCATC